GGCATCCATTCACACACGCACCGCAGCACTCTCGCGGCGCTGATCTGCCAAGCCTTCTTAGCTGCTATTGCGAATGCAGCCTTGGGCGCCTAAAGGAACCACCGAATTCTACGCGGTGGCTAGGCCGTGGGTGCCGCTGAAAATATCAATGCATCCTTCGCACGTTTTCTTCTCGTGGGAGTTTCTTGCGAACGATGGGCTGGTTGGTCTGGGCCCAAGCTGCCTGTGGCCAACCCCGCCTAATTTCGGCGGGGCCGGCCGCTGGGGTCGTGGGGACGCAGGGGGAATAAGGTCGCGACGGAAGCAACCACGAATGTCTGAAGCTTGGGGGTGCGGCAGCTTCTGTGAAGTCGCCCCCGCTTGGATTTTGTTCACTGCGTATCGTGTTGCCTTTGCTCGCTGTCTCTTCGTGGCTCGCTCTTGATTTTTGTTGGGGTCGTGCGTGCGGAGCTGCGGGCGGGCTCCCCGGGTCGCTGGGGTGGATGGCGTGAGACGTCCTCCCCCCTCCCTGCCGCGCCCGCTGCTCCCGCGGGCGTGGCGTCCCAGCAACGTCCCGATGGCATCCCCACGGCGTCCCGACGGCGTCCCGACGGCGTCCCGACGGCGTCCCGACGGCGTCCCGATGGCGTCCCGACGGCGTCCCGATGGCGTCCCGATGGCGCCCCGACTGTACGGAAGTATCAGGCGGGGGCCGCTGTTGTTGTAAGCTGGGGTTCCAGCAACAAAGACCCCCCCCATGTGAAAAACTGAGCGCGAGTCCCGGGAGGGGCACTTCAGTTGGATCTCGGGGGGGGAGGGATCTAGCTATCTATCATTACCTATACAGCCACCCTTCGGATGATAGGGAGGTTGGGGGGTGGGGAGGAAAGAACCGACTGCTGACAAATGTGATGGGTGACGCGTCCTCGAGTTAGCGACGACGCGCGATGACGATGATGCGCTGCGATGTACTGTCACTATCGTCCGCGCTCAACCAAAGTCACAATTGACACCCCTGTCGATCTTACTTCTGATCTTACTATGCATCCCATTCTAGCGATCTCATTGTCGATCTCACTATCGACTTTGCTGTCGATATCAAGGCGAGACACCCCCAGCCACAGCCCGCCCACAGCCGCCGGAACACCGATGGGACACCAACGGGACACCATAGGACTCCACGGCGGGACACCCCGGGCCACCGCGCGCCCACAAGGGGCGGAGGGGCGGTCCACTGCATCCGAAATCGCCCTAGCGACGGCGGGGTCATTCCTCTCGCGCGCCCACGCAGCCTCGCCTCGCCCGCACGCACAACACGAACACGAAACCACCGATTTTCCGGTGGGGGGCTCTGCGTTCCACTGCGACCTCACCCCCCCGACTTCCGATCCCCTAGCAGAACTCAGTATCGTTCTACCGACCCCCATCCCCATCCTCACCCCCTTCGAGACCCCCACCAAATTACCACCCCAGCTGGGAGTACACCCCTCGAAACCCGAAGGGAACGGCCTATATCCCCATCCAGGGGGGTGAAATCGGCCAGTGGGGCCCAGGCCACGCCAAACGATGCTCAGGGGAGACGGGTCCAGGGGGAAACGGGGGTCCTGAGGCTTTCCGCCGATTTTGGCTTCCCGGGCCCTCTGCGGGCCCCGGGACCGTCGGAAAGCGACTCGGCATGGAGAGCCCGTCCAGGGGGAAGGCCCCAGGGTCCAGGGCTCGTTTTCCTCGCGACCCATTTCCCCCATGCTATTTTCACTCTCTCTCTTTCTTCCCCTCCCTCCCCCGCGAGCCGTGCCAAGGAGATGGCCGCTCGAGCAAGTAGCTCTGTTTTTTTACCTCTTGGTGAGGGTCCGCCTGTCGTCAGCGGCGAGGGAGGTGTCGTCCTTCCTCCGCCAGTGAGCAGAATCCCCCTCTGGTGGTGCACCCCCCAGGTTTGTCTGCTCAGCGGGCGTGTCGCCCTTCCACCTCGGACTGTCCCCCAGGTGACGTCCGATCATATCCTATCCCCGTCATCCGCGGCCCCACTGCCTCCTTCCCCTGCACCTCCTTCAGCAGGAGTGGGGGCCGGCGGGGACGGCAGGGGACGCCCAGTCGAGGAGGAGGGGGCGATCGACGCGGATGAGCTGCAGTCGCCCGCTGGAGGATGCCAGTGTTGCCTCGCAGTTTCTGGGAATGTGAGTCTGCAGCTTTCCGCGACATCGAGCGCAGGTTTTGCCGACCCAAGAAGCTCGCGCGGAGCCGCGAGAACGCCGAGGGGAGTGCAGCCGTTCGCCCTTCCGCCGGCGAAGGCGAGGAGCCGAAGCCGAGGATCGCCATGGGTCCACTGGAGGATGGGCCTGCGCAACATATCCGTGCGGTGTGCCGCGGTGACGTCTGGCTCGAGCACTGGGCTGCAAAGCCCCGACCACAAGGAAAGGTCCCTGCCGCCCGACCAGCATCCGTTTCCGCTTCCGCTGCGGGCCAGGAGACCCAGGCTCGGAGGAGGGCCCGTCGAGGCAACGCCGGCTCGCCTGCCTGGTCCAAGTCCGGTCAGGATCGGTCCCCAGTCGACCACGCTTAGGTCGGGCGTGTCCCCCTGCAGGGGGATTTGCGACGAAACATCAAAAAATACCCCAAACGTTCATCAAACAGGTCAACACAAAGATCACAAAAATAGTCCCCAGACTATTTTTGGATGATTTTTGGACTATGTTTGGGGCATCTTTTATTTTTCGTCGAAAATCCCCCTGTAGGGGGACAGGCCCGACATGAGACTACACGTAAGAGTGACCCTTCGCCGGATTGATCCTTGACGCGGGCTCTTCGGGTTTCCCCCCCCGATCGCTGAGCGCGATGCGATAGCGGAGTTCTGTGCACTCGGGTTTGAGCCCCGTCGCGCCCCCCAGAAGCCGCGCAGCAGAGGCCACTCTTGCCCAGGGTCGCTCTTGAGTCTGGCCGACCCAGGCCCCTCCCGGGCGTGTCATCCCGACCCGCTTCTCGAGGCGGGCCCGGCTGCTGCGACGAGAGGCCTCCAAGGGACCCGAAAGAGGGGCGCCCGGGAAGGCCGCCAGCGTCTCGGCGGTCCCTCCTCCGAGCTGCTGCCCCGCATGGCGCTGCAGAGGTCAGGGGCAACGGTAGGGGGGATAGGCTTGAGTCGGGCATGTCCCTCTACAGGAGGGATATTCAAAAACATTCAATAAATAGCCAAGGGACGAGTTTTCTGCCATGTTTGACTATTCTGTGGCATTTTTGGCCTATCCGTAAGGGCTTCGCTCCCTGCCGCCAGCCCCCTCTCTCGGATTATGGGCTACGCAAGAGCTAAATCATGAGGCCTCGGCGCCGCCGTGAAGCAGCATCGGCAAGAGAAATTGAGATTCTGATGATATTGTTGAATTCGGTGTTGCATTTTGAACCCCCCGCATGCTGTGCACTGATGTTTCCCACAGAATTTCGGACATGTGGCAAATCCCATGGGTTTTTTTCGACCCTGACCCTGCTGATATGCGTGAGGGGTGCAGCCGGATTTCAAAAATGTTGCAAATCCCATGGGTTTTTCGACCTTGACCTCGCCGATCTGCGTGGTGCCGCCGAATTTCAAACATGTGGCAAACCCCATGTGTTTTTCGACTCTCACTCCGCCGCCGAATTTCAAACATGTGGCAAACCCCATGTGTTTTTCGACTCTCACTCCGCCGATCTGCGTCAGGGGTGCGGCCGAATTTCAGATATGTGGCAAATCCCATTGGTTTTTCCACCTTGACCCCGCCGATCTGCGTGCGGGGTGCAGCGGTTTTTTGGGAATGTGGCAAATCCCAATGGTTTTTCGAGAATGTGGCAAATCCCATGGTTTTTTCGACTCTGACCCCGCCGATCTGCATGAGGGGTGCCACCGAATTTTAGAAATGCTGCAAATCCCGGAGGATTTTGGACTCTGACCCCGCCGATCTGCGTGAGGGGTGCCGCCGAGTTTCAGAAATATGGCAAATGCCATGGTTTTTGTTCGACCCTGACCCCCCCCCCGATCTGCGTGCGGGGTGCCGCCGAATTGCAGACATGTGGCAAATCCCATGGGTTTTTTGACCCTGACTCTGCCGATCTGCGTGAGGGGTGTCAATTCCGACCCCCCCAGAAATTCTGAGACCCCTCCCGGGAGGTGCTAACCAGGGCGGTTTTCGGCTCCCCCCCTCGCTCAGTCTAATTACAAGCAGGGACAGTAAGCAGCATAAAGCAATGCGGTAACAGTGGAAACCAGAAACTGGAACTGGCGCAGGGAATAGCAAACCCTCGTCCTACAGCCTGGTGGCCCCACAAGGGGGCCGGCGGATTTTTCATTTCTCCTCGAAGATCCGCCTGTAGGGGGACATGCCCGACCTAAGCATAGGCTCAGGTGGGGGGTGCATCGACCCCCAATCGCCCATTCTTAATCGACGATTGGGGCCCGATGCAGTCGGACCGAGGTTTCAGATCGAGGTCGGTTCGGAGAGGGTAACCCTGAATGTTCCCCGTGGTTGTGGAATGCTTCTGCGTATCCTGGGGAGGCTGCCCCAGGACGTTCTGTGTGTGCTTTGGCCAGCGGAGGGTCTCACATTCTTGAAGGATCTTGTTCTGTCCTGGGTCCGACTGTTAGGCGGCACGGGCACCGGTGGGGGGAAGGCACCGACCCCCAATCGCCCATTCCTCGCCGACGGGGGCTCGACAGCCCATCCCCGCCCAGGACCGTGCGGATTCGCTGTCGGGGGCCTCTCGCGGATCTATCGGCGAGGCACGGCCGACGCCAGCCCGACGTCTGCCCCCCTGAGCTGGTCCCCCCCGATCGTTGCCCCTGAAAAGGTCTGCGCTCGTCTTCGAGGCCATCGCCGACGACAATGACGACGACGACGACGACGACGACGACGACGACGACGACGACGACGACGACGACGACCACGACGACCACGACGACCACGACCACGACCACGACCACGACGACGACGACCACGACCACGACCACGACCACGACCACGACCACGGCCACGATGACGACCAAGATCACGACCACGACCACGACCACGACCACGACGACCACGACCACAACGCTGACGCTGACGATGAGGCCATCGTCTTGCTGTTGGCGTTCACTCCGCACGCGTGTGCTGCAGCTCCGAGCAGTGGCGAGGTGGCGCAGGCTTCGAAGGGCGCTGACTTTAGCCCTGCGTCGAGCATGGCCCCCCCCCATCTCCTCTCAAAGGGAGGAGGGAGGGAGGAGGAGGAGGAGGAAGAAAAGATGGAGGAGGAGGAGGAGGAGGAGAAGAAGGAGGAGAAGGAAGAGGAGGAGGAGGATGAGGAGGAGGAGGAGGAGGAGGAAGAGGAGTCTTATAATTGGTGAAGAATTCACAGGCGAAACGCCCGGTCCGCCCTACCGACACGTCTCGGGGTGCGAGGGGAAGGAGGAGTTAGCTAGTTATAAGGAGAGGATAGAGGAGCAGAAGGCATCTTTGCACTGGCCTCCCCATCGTTGCTCCCTCCCCCTCTGCGCCTCCCCATGGGGCAACCCCCCCTGCACCCCCCGCGCACACACGCACACGCGCGCACGCCCACCGCGAACCACATCCCCTCCCCCATGCGCCCCAACCCGCGGAGGAAAAGGAGGAGGAGAAGGAGGACGGAGGAGGAAGATGAGGACCAGTGTCAAACCAAGACGCATCAACGATGTTGCAATAGACCCTCCCTCCACGTTCCCTCCACGTTGCCCCTCTTTATAGGTCGCTACAAGAACTTGTCTTCACTGCTCGAAGTGCCCCGTCGGAGGACAACCGCCCGTGTGAGAACCCTCAACCGCGTTCAAACATCATTCTTTGGATATCAACGCTGCGAATCAACTTTACGGTTGCGTCCAGACGATCCTGAATCGTGCCAGGACGCATGCCCAGGGGCTTCAACACCGCGAATCAACGTGATTGCTGCGCCCTGACAATCCTAAATCATCCCGGAACACCGTTGCTGGGACGTCAACCAGAAGAACCCGTTAAGTTATCGTAGGTTTTAAGGCGAGTGTGTGCGGTGCAAGGGCGAGTGCCACATTTTGAAAAGGACACGCCTTCCATCCGTGTAATCATTGCAAACTGTTTTGGACGAGTGCGTGCGGCGCTTGGGCGAGAGCCACATATTGAAAAGGAGCCACCATCCATTAGTGGCACTTTCGCATTTTGTTGGACGAATGTGCGCGGCGCTTTGGCGAGAGCCACATCTTTGAAAGGCACCGCCCTCCATCCGTGAAGCTCTTGCAGACTTGTAAGAGGAACGTTGGAACTCTTGCACACTTTCATGACGAATGTGCGCGTCGGTTCGGCGAGAGCCACATGTTGCAAACTTTACTGACGAAGTTGCGCTGCGCACAGGCGAGAGCCACTGTTTTCCAACAGCCTTTCCTCCGTGAAACTCGTGCAGCATTTTGAAAGCGAACGCGCGCGTCGCTATGGCGCGAGCGACGTTTCGAAGAGGAGCCGCCTACCATCCGAGAAGCTCTTGCGAACTTCTGGGGCGAGTGTGAGCGGCGCTGAGGCGACAGTCACTTTTTCGAAGAGGAGTTGCCCTCCATCTGTGACGCCCGCGCCAACTTCCAAGAGGCAGGTGCTCGGCGCTGACGCGGGCGCCACATTTTGAAAATGAGCCGCCCCCCGTCCGTGAAATCTTTGCAAGCTTTGAAGCTGAATGTGCACGGTGCCAGAAAAAAACAGACACAGTGTGTGTGTGTGTTTTCCCCACAGTGTGTGGGTAACAAACACACACACACCACACACACACCACACCACACACCACGCCACACACACCACACCACACACACACACCACACACACACGCTCACACACATACACATACACACACATACACATACACACATACACACATACACACATACACACAGTGTGTGTGTGTTTTCCCCACAGTGTGTGTTTTTTCCCCACAGTGTGTGTGTGTGTGTTTTTGTGTGTTTGTTTGTATGTTTTTTTCCCCCAGGTGTGTGTGTGTGTGTGTGTGTGTTTTTGTGTTTGTGTGTGTGTTTTCCCCACGTGTTTTTTTCCCCCCCACAGTGTTTTTTTCCCCCACGGGCACGAGCAACATTGTGAAAACGCTTCGCCGCCCATGCGTGAAATTCCTGCACACTCTTGCGGCGAGGGCGCGCGGCGCTAAAGGCGAGCCCGACGTGGTGGAACACGATCCGCCCTCCGGCCGTGCAGCTCTTGCGAGCCGACTACGGGCAGAGAGAGTCCGCCGTCTTCCGTTCTCTCCCCCCAGCGAGGGCGTGTAAGGTTGCACGCCGCCCGTTGCCCAGCATCGGCGCATCGTTGAACGCTCCGGCGTTGCTGAAGCCGCCGATCGTTCCAGGCTGACTGATCCCCGCGGTAACAGGAACCAACGCCGAAGTCGGCACGACACGAACCCCCGTGGTTCGGCGGCGAGCCCAGGGGAAGTGAGGAGAGGCTGGCCTTCTCAGAAGGCCCGGAGGTCCCCCGACCTTCTGAGAAGCTCTCCAGGCCTTCCCCACAGACCCAGAAAACCTCT